GCAATTAAATTTCCTTATGGCGCAATTAAGTTGCAACTCAATTGAAATTTGAAAATAATTATGGGAACCATCTTTAATTAGAATCCAACTTATAATATAATGACAAAAGCATTAATAATACTGTTAACATACAATTCTTGCGAATTGTAACAGTGATTCTTTTAAGTTTACATAGCAACTCAATTTAGTTTATCCCAAGATTTATGATTTACATGGTAATGTACTCACAATAATACTAAAAGCAAAACAACTTGATTGATTCAGAGGTATAATAATATGTTTATTGATAAATAATAATAATAATAATATATAAAATAAGGAAGTAAAAGAGAATAAAAAAATCAAAGAAGAAAAGTACTAATTGGAATGTTAGGCCAGATGCCTCTACAAAAACTACTAGATGTGTATCTATAAGTAAAACTAAAAGAAAACTAAAAGTGAACTAAAAATAAACTATAGTTTACATGATTTTATCACTCTCTATTTATATTAAATTAATACATAGATAGATATAACAAATAAATCAAATATATCTAATATGTCTGATATGTCAAAGATATCAATTATATCAAATATGTTCAGTATATCAAATATATCAAATATATCAAATATGTCTGATATATCTGGTATTTAGATCTGTAATATACTGCATTACATTCATCAATCCAATCCTATTATACTATCAATTCACTTTTAAACTTTTTGGAAGCCTTTGAATCTGTATTAAAGACAGTCTTCAATTACACAAAATTTCCAAATCTGGTAAGGAGATGATTCATCAGTCAACCAGTCAAAATTGCAATTTTTGTAATAAAATCACATGATTTAGAAAGCCATAATATTAGAAATTTTAATTAATCAAGAAATTAAATCTTTTAAAATATTTATTTAATTAACTATTTGAATTGTGATCATAATAATGTAATAATAAAATACTAAAATGTGATTTAAAAAATGTATAAATATATAAAAATTTTACAAATTTATAAATAATTCTTTTGCGTGTTCTAACAAATTTTCTACTTTTATATCATTCTTCGCCTCATCTACATCATTCAAATCTCCTTTAATTGCATCTTTTTCAGTATCTTCTTCAACAGATTCTTATTTACCTAATTTCTTTGTAAAACTGGTTATTAGAGCATCGACATTTTTTTTGATCTCGTCTTGAAGATACTCTAAACATATCAAACATTTAAATTGACATTTTTATAGACAATGGTTATGGTAACCATGCTCACATGCGAGAATGATACCATCAATCAAATAGCCATTATATTTACAATACAAATAATCACAAAGAATGGTAGTATTTAGTTTCCTAGAAGTAACAAAACCCTGCGAAAGATGATGATTGGTCACATCATAACCTAAAGAAGGCAATTTATATGTATTAATACCATTAGATGATGATTTAATAACTGAAGAATGTATATAACACACTTAGTAAATTTTCGTAAAGATATTCAAGAGTTGTATAGCACACTTCTGGGAAAGATTATTTAATTGTTTTAGTGTATATGGATATTTAACGGCATTTACAAAATATTGCCTAAATTCATTTTTGTTCCACTGCTAGAAGATGAAATGTGCTTCTTTCTGCAGTTGTTGAGCTGTAGAAACTTAGCGGTACATCATCATATAATACTGTAAACAAGTTCAATAGGACAATCACTTAAAAAAGTAAAATTATTAGTAATCATATCAAAGATTAGATGATTAGTCTCCATCCAATAAAAAACATCAGAGAAAAACATTAAGGAGGCACGTTTGTAATTCCTCCTATCAAACTGAAGAAACAGATTACTCTAGCACTGCATATAAGTTTCTTTATAAGCAGGCTAATCGCCTCTTCAATGATGTATTGTGTAAACGTCAAGGACTAAGGAAACTAAGTTACTTAGTAGATCTGTTAAATATAAAAACTCTATATTTTTGCTTGTACATTCAATTTTTAAATAAACAACCTCTGATATATTAAACCATACCATACACACAATATGAAAAATTAAATTGATTCTTCAAGATTGTAGTTTTTTACCAAGTTCCTTGTTCATACCAAATATGCCTTTGTAAATATTGTTGAAAAAAAGAGTTTTGTAGAAAAATGAATTCACAACCATTTAGCGATACATGGAGAGGACCCATTATAGGCAAAAAGGATATAATAAAATGAGGAACAATTTCATTATTGATGAGAAGGTATTGCACAATAGCCTTACGAATGTAAAACTGTCTAGATCAATCCGTAATAATAGAAATAGTGTGATTAGAAAGGTACTCTTGCATCAGCTCTTGATCATATATGATTTGGAGAGCTTTTATATATCCTTCTATGCCTTTCAAGTCATTTTCAACAAAATTGATGAGAATAGCATTTCTTATATGCCAACCACCCTCTTTTTCCACTAGTTTATCATTGTAACTGTGAATCATCAAGTTGTTAATAATCTCATTATCAGGGGAATTTACTCCTACACTATCTCGCCTGCAATTATAATATGAAACTCTGAGGTTTACGATGAATCGTTCTTCAAGATACCTAGTAATCAATTTAGCATCAACGATCTTTAGATTAATTACTCTACTTCGCGATATTGCAGAAATTAAACACAGATTCAGCATAATTGTTGCCATATGCATTGCCCAAAACGTACTGGTAGTATCAGGTCATCTCTGAACATAAATATTATGATAATTATCTATGTTCAGAATAAATAAATTCTCTGAATGTTTTGCAAGAGCCTTCTCTCCATATTCCCTATACGTATCAGATATTTTTTTTTTCAATCTATCAATCTCAACGTTGTAGATACGCTAAGATTAGTCATTAGTATTCAGGCCTTCATTGCTCATATCTACTGAATCTAAATAAAATCTAAGATCAAATTTAAAAGAGTTAATTTTTGTATTATTTTGTGATGCTAGAAGATAACATAAAAAGCATTAATTTTTTCATACGGTCTATCATTTGTTTGTTACGTTCAAGTATTGAGCTGCTAAATAGAGTTAGTTGAAAAAATCCTTCAAACTCAGTTAAATTTCTTGAAATATCCTTCACATTTTGTCAAACGAATATATAGATTTTTCTTTCTTGGAATGTTCTCTATCGTAAAGTATTTTTACTATTGCCTTAATAGCTCCTGTAAAGTCAACCTTCATACTTACCTCCTCAGTCATAATATTTTTACCTGTAACTTATTCATCCATGGTTTTTACTCTCTTACAGCCTTTTTTCAAAGGATTTTTTACAAAACGCATCTTTGCTAAATTATTATTTTCAACTTTCTTCCATTTTTCTCCCTTTAACGAACAAAATTTAGCTAACTTAAAAATTTGGCATTCTGTACATTTCTTCATCTCAGACATATCTTTAATAGCTAATAATAATATAAAGGCGTGGGATTAATGAGGATTAAAGAAATATATTATAGAGCAATGCGAATACTCAAATTTTACTTAATGCATTTGTCACATTTTATGGCAGAGAAAGATTACGCAAGGAGCATCAAAAATATACTGTAAAATGTATAAAAAAAATTGAATTATGTAATCATTTTCCTTATTTAGAACGGTCCCTCCTGAAGCATAATACTGATTTGCAATTATATAAATATAGACAAAGTCAATTTAATGTTATTTTAAAAATAATAATCTACTTGAATATCAAGTAGCAAAAATATTAACAAATTATAACACAAAAATAATTATTACAAGCTTCTGATTATTCTTGTATTAAATTATATAATTTGAAAATTGAAATACTTTAATTTTTTCATATTTATCGATTTAATTATAAATATGAATCAGAAAGGAAGATCCAATATGATCAACAGCAAATAATTATTTTCATGTTTATGTAAATATACAACTATTTTTGAGATTATTTGTAGACATATATTCTGTATTACATTACAACTTAATTTAGAAAAATTGCCTGATTTGCTATTTTATCAACGTTGGTAAAAAGATTCAAACAATTTTATTTTAATACAACAATTTAATTTATTTTGTAGTAATAATTTGGCAGCAAACCATTCTAATGATTTAAAAATAAAAATTATAAAAGATTATAAATATTTATTGTCAAAAACTTTATTTAAAATAAAAATTTATTGAGAAAGTATTCAGAATTATCAAAAGAATTTTATTTTATGAATAATACATTATTGGAGAAAAAATTACAAGTTATTTATAATCAAACAAATACTATCATATTACGAAATATAATTAATAATCTAATAAAAAAACTAATAATTCATTAAGAAAAAAAAATTTGTTAATAATGTGAAATTTTATATATTATTATGTATTGTATTATAATAATTATTAATATTTTGTTAGGAAAAAGAAAAAAATGATTCTTTAAAATCAGAAATTTTGAGTGCAAATATAGTAATTTATTAATACACAAGAAAGAAAATATAGTAAGTTATCAGGAAAATACTTCAAATTATACATTTAATGTATCTAGTCCTATATATATAGCATTTCAAAATTTACCACAAATCTCTATATTAGAATTAATAAACATGGAAGTAGATGATAACCTGAAAGTACAAGGTATAAATAATTTATTTTTATCAATTTATTAACTTAAATATTAATATTTGCAAATTTTTTAAATTAAGACGTGATTCGTGAAAAATCAGCACTAAATTATTATAAGAATTTAGGGCAAAATTATGCCAATCTATTATTAATATATCTCAAGTCACAAAAATTCAAATAAAGCTAAAATTATTAGTTTTGTGCACAGCCTATTTAAACAATGTGAAAAACTGTAATAAATGTCAAAAAACTATTTTTTATAAAAAATAAATATGTTGACTTTTGTTAATAATATGTTTACTTTAAAGCAGTGACAGATTTATAGTAAATTGAATATATATATTTTATTAATTTCTAGTAAATATATATATATTTATTTGTTTTTATACTCAAATATATATAAATTTCATAATTTCAAATAAAATAATAATATTTATATTCGTGTTTATATAAACTTTTAGAAATCTTTATTCTCATCTATGAAATAAAGTGCCATTGCTTTTCCATTTTTGTGAAAAATCTAGAATCCAATTTTGAATGGTTGATACCTGAAACACATCTTCTTTACATAATTCATCCTATTGTACTCATTGCAGTAATTCTTCATGCATTTGCTGTGTATTTATTTTTTAGCGTAGATTTGCTATTTTTGTATGAAATATTACTTCTAATAATTACTTGATTTTTGCATTCATTTTTTTACTGACTCACATGTCCAAATTTTCTCATTTTCTTTTAGAGCCTAATTAGGAAAAAAACCTATAATTATATAAAAAACTTTCAAGTGAAATTCTTTTTATAATCATCAAATTGTAACTTATAATTATATCTATATCCTTGTGAATTATCTTGTATAGGTTCATTATTAATTTCCATTTGGTTGGTTATGTTAATTAGTATTAGATTCTAATAATACTATTGATATTAAACTAAATTAGTAATAGTAATACTATTGCTATATTTATTTATACATATTAAATTTTTATTTGATAAGAAAAGGGCTAGAAATGATGTCATTCTATAGGAAGGGAGGGAAAGAACGCACATGATGATATTATACAAACCTATTTTAAGAATTACCTATATCATATATTATAAAATTTTACTACACATCACATCACAATCGAACTTTAAACTTTAGTGTTACATTTTAATATTACAAAATTCATTAATTTTTTTTTAAAGAAAATGTAGAAAGGAATCTTTTTTGTAGAATGTGATTTTTTTGCTTGTTGCATTGTGAGTTTTTTGTATCTTTATAATGATGCAAATGTACTTTTGAAAACATAAATATTCTAAGAATTACCTTATTCCAAAGTCACAAAATCTTTATAAATAATATGTAAACGCTTTTGCATATTCAGTAATAGTAAAAAGCAATAATATTGCTTCTAACAAAAAGGAGCTTTAGCTTCAAGCACAAAGTAGTTGGTAAGAAATTAGGAAAAGCAGTAAAAATAATATTGAGAGCCTTATTTCTGAATTGTTAAAAACACCTATTCAACCTTCTCCTCTTACTCTTTTCACTTTCTTCATAGCAGAATTCTGAAGTTAAACCTTTGACATCCTTTTCAGAAACTCTTCCCAATACCTCTGATAATAATACCTTCAATAATGTACAAATTCCACCCAATGCATTAGCACAAAGACAATTAGATGTTATTATTCAAAAATCTAAGGCTTAAATATATAAATATACTAAGATATCACAAGTAGCAACATCACTAGAACTTCATTTGCAATTTTTTTCAAAGATTAAAAGGCTTGAGGAGACTATAACAATAGGGGAGAATAAGCTTAAGCAGTTAAAAGGCAATGCAGTAGCTCAAAAATGGGTTCGAGAAAAAAAGCGGCAAATTTTAGAAAAGGAAAACATTGTAGAAATATATGATACACCTGGTCGGCCGTCATATTTGATGAAAGATTTTGGTCTTTTGGAAAAGATGCATAACAGTATTGAGTTTAGAGCTGCAGATTATAAATGTTGTAAGGAGGTAATTAAAATACGAACAATTAAACACCTCTGAGAGAAATTGAAAGAGGATTATAATATATATATATCAAAATCTACATTGCAAAACTATATGCAACCTCGACATCTGAGAACAAAGAAGGCATAATGACATCACTATTCTGCACAAATACACTTAGTAGCAGTTGAAAGGAATAAAATGAATGATCATGCAGATAAACATTATTATCTAGCATCAGTTAAAGGTGTAAAATCGTTTGCCTCAACTTATTCACAAGACATTATTCTAATTTCACAAAATGATAAGGCTAAGGTAATTTAATCTATAATTATAAAGAAAGATAAATATTGTTTGGTAATTTAATTAAATTTTAATTTTTATTTTATTTATTAGATTCTATTAGGTATTGTCGCAGTCAAAAAGATATTTAAAGCAATACAGACATCAAACGAATCTGTATCTGTTTTTGATCATGATTTTCTAGTGGGTTCTAAGTACAAGTTGATATTATTTATCTACTTATTGATTAATCCTAATAATACAAACAATTCTTTGAATTTTGGAAAATTGTGAATTTTTATTCGTTCAGAGTACTTTTTAGGTACTTTATGTGAAACTCACATGATAGATCTTATGAAAATTATAGAAGAGAAGCCTTTTCACAAGTTTACACATTATAAAGGTTCAATGAAACCTATTTTGTGCCTATTAACAGATGGTGGATCAGATCAGTGTGTAAAATTCATGTGCACAATGTGCACATGTGCACATTAAATTTTTATGTGCACATATTACACAGCATAAAATGTGCACAAATAATTACTAAAAATAGATAAATTATATATAAAAATGGATAAATTATTTATAAAAATGGAAATACTATGTAATACATGCATTAATTTTCTATTTTTAGTACAACTTGTGCACATAACTTTTGGTCCAAATTTTATACACTGGATCAGATGAAAACCCTTAGTTTCTTACAAATATTATAAAATATTTACTTATTTTAAAAACTTGATTTAGATTATCTTACAGTAAGAACACATGCATAGGATAATTAGCATATAATCCAGTAGAATGAAGTATGTCTTCATTATCCAGCAAGTTAGCAGGCATTGTATTGAATGCTTTTAATTATAGAAAGCATCTTAATAATGTAAATGGATAGGTTTCTTTGATTAATGAAGAACTTGGCTGTAAAAACTTTAAACATACTGATGAGCATCTTTGCGAACTTTAGAACTGTGACCCTATTAATGGATGACCAGTTATTATCACATATATTGAAAGACATAATTATACTGTATTTTTGGATATTGAAGAAGAAACGTGAGATTAGATTGATTGTTATTTGCAAATCTATAAATATTCTCTTGATTTGCGAAAATGTGATGATCATAATTATTATGGACTACTACAAGCTCCTAATGCTCTCAAACTTTTATTATTAAATAATAGCTTTCTTCCTCCTATTGTATAAGAATAAGAAAAATATTTTCTTAATCTATTATACACATTGGAATACTTTTGTGATTGGCTTCCCTGCTATAATGAATATTGTTTAAGCATCTCATCCAAATTGTATCAAGAACTTGTATACAAAAGATGTAGAAAATATTTTCCAACAAAGGCATTTATAAAAATATATACCAAGATTACGCATTCATATGGTAAAGAAAAAAGAGCACGAGTAATTCAAGATGCACAATTACAATAAATGAAGAGTGATGTATGTAAAGAGATGAAATAAAAAATTCACAACCTTGAGATCAGGATTATTTTATATTTCAAATTAATTTTGATAATATATAACGATTTGTTAAAATAAATAAAATTAATAAATTATTCTATTGGATTCATTAAAATTTCATATTTTTAATAAATTAAACTTTTAAAAAATTATTATCACATGATATCACATGATCAAGTCACATTATTACCTTATTTGATTTATGACAAGGATGACAAAAGGGAGGAGGGAGTCAAAAATCTCAAAAAATCCAATGATATCATTTCTGGCTCTTCCCTAATCAAATTAGTAATTTCAGTATTATATAATCAAAAATAATAAATAATAAAAAGTTTACTGGGATTACCCACAATTATTATAGTCTATTACTTGTTTGGCTCTGTATATTAAATATATTTTAGGTTTAGTTTTTCAAATTTTCTTTTCTTCGCAATTTTTTCTATTTTTTCTGGTGAATATTCTTTTCAAATACTAATTTTTGGCAATGCACAAGTATAAATATAACCATTTTTTTCTTCATTTTAAGATTAAGTTCATTCTTAAAAATTTGAAATTCTTATTATCGTGCCTAACTTTTTTTTATCTAATTTTAATATATCTAATTAGTATTATTTAGCAAAACGTTAACAAAATCGAAACTAAGATCAATACCTATATTTCTATTTGGTTTCAAATTAGCTACATATGTATCAGTAATATCTTTGATGATATTGTTAATATCATCTCCACTTTTTACCTCAAATCTTAATTTTATATATTATTTTATAGCTTGTGCTATTTAAATTGTAAGTATATTTATTTTAGATATACTAGTACTTTTCAAATTTTATTTTAGTTATACTAATACTTTTCAATTTGTAAAATTAAATGATACATTAATTACCTAAGTATAATGTGAGTCTATAGCTATTTTAGCTTTTCTTGCTTTTAAAAATAACTATTGTTGTAAGATAATATTGTACTATTCTTTCTAATAGCTTATAATAAGCATTAATTCAGTACAATGATAATGTATTCCATTATCTGACAAAATTGATACCCATTTAGGCTTTGGTTAAAGTATTTCAAAAATAGTATGTAAAGAAGAAGCAGTAAACCATGTATCTTAATGTGTATCACCAGACTAATAATCAAATACTTGAACATTTAGATGATTGTTTTCTATATTTTAGGTATAAATTAAAACTGAATGTAAACTTTAACCATGTTTTTTAAAATAATCTTTCTTTATTCCTCATATACTTGTTGTAAAATTTTCATTTTATAATCTACTATTATTATCGCATCTTCAGCATCAAGTTCTTCAAGATTGGTTTTTACATGAATATTAAGATAAAAAGTTTTGTATGTATAGTGTGCCATCCATACAATGAGTTTTGCTTAATATTCATAAAGTGTATTATTGAATTTAAATTCCAATTGTTTTTTAACTGATCAAAAAAACTAAACAAATTT